TATTCTTTCTTGGAGTATAATGGATTAAAGAAATGCATAGCTGAGTTCCATTAGCAGCTACTAAGATTTATGATGGATGCATTTAGTGACACTGATCAACAATATTTTGGGATCAGATCATCTTGCATACCTTGCTTTCCCTTGTGCAAATCGTGGCCAATCCACTGTAGAACAACACATCAGCCAAATATTTATTTATTGCAAATTCAATGTAGATGAATGATATTGAGGAAAATGAGATTCATTCACAAAGTGTTACATAAGAACTAATGGAATAAGTTCAATAGTCATCTCGAAGGTGGCTTGGTTGCGTCGTTCGGTGGCATGTTGAGGACGATGGGCATTAGCTTGCCCACATCAGGAATCTGAAGTGAAACGTGTTGAATTCTAAAAACTGAATGCCTAAAGGTTTTGATGCTGCTTGCTACTGATAGCATCGAAGCGAAATACTTGAAGTTATTGAGATGATTCTGAGTAAGAATGAAAAATTCCATGAAATAAGTGAACTCATAAGATCTGACAGAAAACCATCGATTCATCAAGTGTTTACACAGACAGCATCTACTTACGATAAAATCAGCATATGACGAAAGATGTTCACGTCCACACACACCGGACAATACACCTACAGTACATCCAAGCCTAGCCGTTCGTCCCATACCCAGATCTGCCAACGTATCACCAACAACAACGGCTTCCTGCATTTAGCATTCTCATTCTGGTTTCATTTCTTCGTCGAGCTTAGCGGAGAATCAAAGTTTCACAATACCAGCAATACGGATTCAGCAGCACATTGTCATGATGAGGCGAATTTAGGTCCGCATGGTTCAGTGAGTTGAAAAGATTGGGTGCTTATGAGTTTCANATTCTTATGCTAAACATTGGATCAAATCACTGTTTAGGAAGTGAATCAAGAATGCGTTGGCAATGAGCTGACGATGAGGCATATTTTGATGGTGATTTTTAGCAACGGATCACAGCTCAGACCTGAGGATCAATGTCGAGTTGTCGACAGATCGAGAGTGCATTATGCGGATTAGGTTTTGGTATTGCTCCAGCATCGTCGCCACATGCTATGATTCTCACGAAACGATCGACTCCAAGCGTTTTCAACGCACTCAGAGTAGCGGATCTGCAATGGTTTTAGTTCGAAAGCATCTGACCTCATTTCAGCCATGATCTATCAATGTCGCTTGCATGTCATTAACTTTTTTGTCATCAATAAGCATTTTCGCTTGTTTATTGAGCGCTAATTCAGTGTTACTCATCAAAATATTAGTGCCATATTCATGACAATTTCGTTGTTTTGACTGGAATCGTCTATCTTGCAAGCAATCATTCAGCTTGAACTAACTCAGCCAGATTCTTTCACTAACCGACTGTCAGAAGTGCAAACGGCAATGT